GACAGCCCTGAAAGTAACGGCAACAGTCAGCTTTCATCGACCAGTACGAGTAAAAGAAATGGCTGCCAGTTACGTGTTGTGTTCCTGGTTGTTTTACCGGTTTCTTTCATCTTTCCGGCTTTTTTCTCTAAATATGCCCATTTTGTACATCTTATAACTGGAATCTAATCATTTTTTTTTGGGGGGGGCTTAGCCCTCACTTTTATTTGGGGGGCTAGGGGGCTATATGTTCTGTCCGACATACATGGGTACCGTCAGGTCCTGATGGACTCCCATATTGGCCATGGAAAGACTTTTCACAACTTTCAGCGCCTATAATTACTAAACTGTTCAATCTTTTAATCGAGCAGCAATGTATCCCTCTCATGTGGAAACTCTTGCCAAGGTCAATCCTTTACCCAGAGAATGTCCTTTAACAGAGTGCAGCCAGCTGAGACCCATACCCTCTTTGAAAGGGTAGTTTATGAACAGGATATTGCGTCTGCATTCAAATCTGTGGTCGGACAGGACCAATTTGCATATAAAGTAGGACCAGTACAACTGATGCATTGATCATGTGTTTACATCATTGGCTTACATGAAGGTGCAGACCGTTCGGGTAATATCATTTGATTTTAAGAAAGCTTTCGATTCGGTCTCTCAATAACATTATGTGTAAAAACCTGAAAACACTTAAAATTAACCCTTATATTACAAACTGTATCATTAGGTTCTTGGCTAATAGGAATCAAAAAGTAGGTGCTGATGGCATAGAGATGATGTACATTGATATTGACAAAGGCGTACCACATGGTACGGTTTTGGGCCCGTTTCTATTTTCGCTGATGGTAAACGACATAAAATCATGCAGTATATGCGAAAAACAACCTTTTGGTCAAATTTGGCAAGTGCCCCAGTAAAATCAGGATTGAGCATAGTGTAAATTGAGCGTAGTGTAAACGGGGCTTAAAATACAATACATAATCAAATTACGGATCGAAAGCTTTGCAGTAATAAATTTACGTGGTGTTTCCACAAACAAAAACAATTATATTTTATCGCCATGCAAACATTCAAAGAACTTATTACATAATCAAATTACCTAATAAATACTATTTACATTAATTTACAATACAATAAATTCACAAATTTATTAATCCTTATGATTGATAAGTCTTTTAAAAGAATCAATTGATAAATTGCCGTATTTATCGACGATTTCGAGTGGTAGGCTATTCTAGGACATCGCTCCTCGATATGAAAAACTACGTTTAAGTAACGTTTTTAAAAATTTGTTTTTGGTTTATCAAGGTAAAGCTTTCGATTATTGCTTCTTAGACTGCATGTATACGTGGTATTGTTGTCAGTGGTGAATAGTTCAGTCAAATATGTTGGTACAATGGCTCTTAGTGCCTTAAAGGTCATTATTTGTTCCCCTTTAGTAAAAGTAGCTTCAATTGGCTCCCATTTTAGGTCATCAAATATCTCGTGTGATTTAATGTCATAATCTGAATTTGTTATCACCCACGCAGCTTGATTTTGTAGCTTTGTGATGTGTGAGTTGTTTCCATCATGCCATGCATACAGTGGAAGAGTATGTGAAATGTGGTAAAAGAAGTGATTTATACATTGCTATAGTTATGTATCTAGTGTTGCAAAAGGCTTTGCTCTTCTTAAGAGAGCTATACCCTTTGAGATTTTTTTACACTGTGCGTCATTATGATCGTTCCACTTTAATTGATCATTAATTATGACCCCTAAAACCTTTTGGCTCGATACTTGATTTATTATCTGATCTCCAATGACTATATGTGGAACTATTGGGCATATCATTTATTTTTTGCCGAGATCCGACTATCATAAATTCTGTTTTTTCTGTATAAATAATTATAAGTTATAATAATTACAAGTTATAATGGTTTAATATTTACAGATATTTCTGATCATCTTCCCATCTTTCATTTTGCAAATAAAAAATCCTATCCAATTAGATTTTGCAAGTCAACAGAACAAATTAATTTCCAAAGAAAAATTAACAAAACAACATTAGCACAATTTTCAAATGATATAAAGAATTTAAACTGGCAAGACACACTACAGAACAATGATAGTAATAAAGCATATGAAATATTCTCTGAAGATATAATCAAATGATATAAAGAATTTAAACTGGCAAGACACACTACAGAACAATGATAGTAATAAAGCATATGAAATATTCTCTGAAGATATAAAAAATACTTTTAACACTTGCTTTCCATTACAAAAGATACCTAGAAGAAAAATTAATCACTTAAAAAGTCCTTGGATGACTAAAGGCATTTCTAATTCTGTTAAAAAGAAAAATAAACTCTATCAGAAATCTTTATAATAAAGAAGACCGTGTAAATCAAATGAAGAGATATATAAAAAATACAAAAACAAACTAAATCGTATTATTAAAATAGCAAAAAAATACTATTATGAAAATAAATTCATTAAATATAAGTTTGACAGTAAGATGACTTGGAAAACAATAAATGAAATTAAAAAAAAAAGATAATAAAACTTCCAACATCATTGTTCGATAAAACTTTGAACAAAAATATAGATAATCCAAAGGAAATTGCAGACAAATTCAATGAGTATTTTATTAATGTTGGTCCTGAATTAATTAGCAAACAAAATCCCTAATAACAACACAAAATCATTTGATAAATATTTAAATGGAAACCATATTCATAGTATGTTTCTAGAACCTGTAACTGAAATTGAAATAAAAAATGAATTGAACAGTCTTAACTAGGAAAATAAAAGTGCTGGATATGATGAACTCAATTCAAAGATAATAAAATCAATTGCAAATCAAATTTGCAAACCACTAAGTCACATCTTCAATTTAACATTTATAACTGGAATTATTCCAAACCAATTAAAAATCGCACTAGTTACACCAAGTTTTAAGACAAATGAAAAGTCTCAATTTCAAAACTACAGACCCATTTCAGTTCTAACATGCTTTTCAAAGTTACTGGAAAAAATTATGCATAAACGATTAATTAAATTCGTTGAAAAAAATAATATTTTATCAAAACATCAATTTCGCTTTAGAAAAAAGAGATCAACTGAACATGCAATCATTAACATCACTGACAAAATTTCAAAAGCAATTTATGAGGGAAAATTTACAATGGGTATATTTCTGGATCTATCAAAAGCTTTTGATACAGTAAACCACGTACGAAATCCTCTTAAAGCTAGATTACAGTCCCTTCTGCGCATGTGTCAAAAATGTAAACAAATGTGAGCACACTTGTTTTGATTGTGTGTGCTCCCCAGTCCTTATTCGGATATGCGCGCTCAAAATGGCCGACTCGCAAGAGTTAACTAGCGGCTAAATCGAGGAATGCACATTTACATGACGCCATCTTGAATTCATTATTAACTCGGGACATTTGTGGTTATCTTATGATAATAATGAATTAGTAAAATGGTTATCCATTAAAGTGCTCCTTTATCCCTTGTCTACATCCGTAGTTTATTTCTATTGTCAGCTGGGAGGTAAACACGCAATAAAAACTTTATTAAATTGAGTAGAGATATTTACTATGAAAAGTTGCCGATTTTTATGGCGAATTCAATCGTGTTCTCCGATTTCCCATCTACTGTGTATACAAATTCCTATAGTAGGATAAAGACTCGAGTTTTAGAGTATTAAAGGGCGAATATCTCCGTTCAGTTTTTCAATGAAAAAGGAAAACTAGGGCTGTTTATACAGAATTTCATGCAGAATCGAAGGGTATTTTCGGAATTTCCATCTACCGTGCACACAACTATGTGCTCACTATACGAAAGTAAATTTGCGTGCCAGAGACTAAGTGTCGATTAATGCATACAAATCACTGTGAAAAATGTCGATACGCGAGATGTTGTTATTTTGTATATTCGGCCGGTTTATTTTCCTTTATATGATATCAAAAGCTAAATTAAATCATTATAATATGATTATTTATGATTTAAAAGCATTAAAAGTGTATTTATTGTAATTTTTGCTGCTGTAAACTAGCTTTATTATGACCATTTTTAATAGACTATTTATAAAGTGGCAATGAGCGAGCGACAATTATCCAATCAAAATCCACTATTTTAATTTTCCCGCGAATACGTTTGTTTTGATTACATCATTCATGGTTGATACTATGACATCATAACTGAGACCCAGGTCATTGCGCGGAATTCAAGATGGCGTCGGGCAAATGTGCATTCCTCGATTTAGCCGCATGCCAAGATTATATAATAGAGCCGTCCACTTCAAAGGCAAATCCTTCTAATGCTGGTCGCCAAAACTAACCAGGAAATCGAAAAGAACATTTCGCTAAAAGGTATGCAACGAAAATGTACTTTAATGATGCTATTGATCGGTGAAATCATTTCAAAACTGAAGCTGGAATTAAAAGTGACGACTGATGAGGGTTCGCGAATACTCTGCTGATCGAGCCTGTATACGAAACATCAAGACGGATTTAATTGTGGTAAGCACATAACACATATCCCTGGATATTTCAGTTATGTTAATGTTGTTATATTTCCTCATTACAAAACTTTATTGTGCACTTATAGCGCTGTGGAAACCCAGACGGATCAGCAGCCATTGCCAGTATATGTTCAGCAAGGGGAAACAGCAGTGAAGCCATATAAAGATTCTCCTAAGCAGTACGAATACATCCTACAACTTATAATGAAGGTATGTATAAAATTTTATGCTTTCCTGAATCCTAGTGAGAAAAAAGTGACTTTTAGTTTTCATTATGAAATTCCATATTCTTTATATCACATTTTCAAACAAATATTTTGATCATTCTGTAGGCGTGTTAAGGGCACCTGCTGATTGATGTGTTTTAAGAGCACTTAAATGGCTTTTTGGAAAGCCAAATTTTGATTTGCATGAACATTAACAAAATCAAAATGTAGCTTGAAAAAAGTCAGTTATTATAAGTGTTTTTAAAACACACTGGTCAGCAGGCACTAATTGTGCATTTCAACAGGAATAAAACTAATTATAAGTCTTCTTTAGGTATGGGGATTGGTGTTGCAAGTGATGACCGAAGGCAAATTGCTCCTAACATAACCCATGTCCCTCCTCCTTCAGTCAAAAAACTTGTTGAAACCCATCAGTCTAGATTCAACTGATCACTGTAGATAAGTGTCTGGCACTTAAAACAAAGTGCTCTGGTTAGGTGGAGCTCATAATCCCTGAAAAGCAGTCCACCTAGGAGAAGGAACTCTGATTACAAACCCCCGGATCCCAATAGTGAGTCAGGCTGTCCATATTGTATTCATTGATCTTCGGTGCACAGCAATACACTTTTCAGGACTGAAGTAAGGAGCAAGGAGTAATTTTAAAGAATAAAAATATCAATGTCAATACCAAATGTTGTGCTTGAATATCCAATGCACTTAATAACTTGTCTTTTATAAAATGAAATATTACTGTTCATAAAGATTAACCCATTAACATGATAAAGGCTTTCATTTGTTAGCAAAGTTTGCTGTGTTTAGTAGACAGAGAAAGCTTAAAATAAGTTTGAAGCAATTTTGAACTGCAATTTTCTTCTTTTGTTGTATGTGTTAAAGTGAATAATCAATCCACGCAAAGTAATGTTTCCTGTAATTTTGCTAAAACACATATACCAAAAAGAGAAAATCCAAGTTTAAAATCGCTTGTGTGAACGGGCCTTAACAGGTGTGAATTACCCACGTTCTTTCAAAATATTTAAAATGATCCTCCCTGTCAAGGGGAGATAATTGCAGTAAAATGGATTAATGAATAATAAAGTTTCCCTCAATGATCCCTCTAATGTATGGCCAGGTCCAGATCAAACATTTCCATCAAGTACTAACTGTGGGAAGAGAGGTCTAGGGTTATGCAAGGCTGTCTTGTTTGTGTACAGCATTTGTTTTCCAATTGTGTTGGCATTGCAACACAGCATCCACATTTGCAATACTCTGAGGCATTTTCTGGGTTTTCGTAGCTGGGTCTGGTTGAAGCGGTTCACCTGGCAATTCACCATTTACCAAATTGACAAATGCAGCTGGCTGATGCTGTATAAGCTCTAAAGCAAATGCTCTTCAAAGGGCATTTAAATCCATTGCTTCCACAAGATTCTGAAATGAATATATTTATTATTTATTAAATGCAAATACTCAAGCACAGTGAAACACAGAAATTTCTTACCACCAAATTACTGCATTTTCACACCTATGTGGACTTGTATATAGACAGGTAAACTTTTTTACATAATTTGATATTTTACCCGGCAAGGATATGCATAATTATGTGGGGTATTTAATAAAACAAATCATGTGTGTTAAAGCCAGT